CAGAGGAATAACATCCATACAGGATGTCTTGAACTTACAAGCTGACCTCAATGCACTGTGTAATCGGGCAACTATGTGGCAAATGAGGTTTAATGTTGATAAATGTAAGGTTATGCACTTGGGGGCTAATAATATGCATGCATCCTACATACTGGGGGGGGGGGGTACAACTGGGGGAGACAATGGTGGAGAAGGATCTGGATGTTCTGGTAGATCATAAGCTTAATAATGGCATGCAATGCCAAGCTGAGGTTTCCGAAATGCGCAAAATAATTTCTTGAGTTAAAAAAAATGGCAAAAAGGAAGAAGAACCATTATGTCATGTGACTGGCCTGAAGAGCTATCTCAACAAGGTGAGTTTAATAAAAAAAAATGTAAATACAGGCGTACCTCGGTTTACAAACACCTCGGTTAACGTAATTTTCGGTTTATGAATGAAAATCCATTGAAAATAATGTCTCGGTTTACAAATTTTTTTCGCAATACGAAAAGATTAATTGGTTTTCAATGCATTTACTAATTTTTTTTATATCTTGTCCCTTTACAGTACTATGTCTTTAACCCCTTCAGCCTAAGGGTAAAACAAATCTAAATGCCTAAGCACAATTCTGCAACGTTGACATGTGTTAGTAAAACCGTACATATCATCACAACTACTTTGTACATCCAGGTGGATTATACCTTGATTTTTTCAGGACAAATTGGGCTTTCATTTGGTGGTAAATGGTAATGGATAGCTCCTGATTTTTTTTTTTATTATCAAAAGAAAACTGGCCTAAAATAGTAAAAAAAAAAATCATTTTTTTTTATTTAGCTGTGTGTTCCTTGTTACTACCATAACCTACCACCAAAGAACAACCCAAAATAAATTCTCCAGCTCTTGACAATCGCAGCGATACTATATACGTGTATGTTATTTGTTGTTGTACCCGTAGTACATCCCAGAAACAATAGTGCGCATTTTGTTTTTGTCTTTTTTTTTTTTATCTAAAACAAACTGACACTGACATTGACACTGATACCAATTTTTTTTTAAATCCTGACCTTTGACCTTGCCCTTTGACCCAAACACTAACCCTGGCACTGAACTAGATCAAACCTTGATCTAGGTATTTTTCTTTATTTTTTTTTATTTTTTAATATTTATTTATCTTCTTTTTTTTGTACAAACATTTTTTTCCCTCTATGCCAGGAGTTAGAGAGATACAATGTATCTCTCTTCTCCATTCATAGAGATAGAAAAACGTAAGGGGGCCGGGCTGTACAGTGACTGACTACTGTGATAGTCTATGATTGGCTATCACAGCGATTATGTGACCCAGAACTGGGAGTCCCAGGTCCCGATCGTTAGAACGGGACCCGGGGCTCTCAGTGACACCACAGTCTTTGTGTATGTAAACCAAAAGTCATGCCAGCAAAAGGCTTCTTTAGGGAGTTTCTGTGATAGGATGACAATGCTCATTCAATATGTCTGAATTCATGAATGTTGTTACTGTATTCTGCATGATCTTGATCACATCAATAATTTGACTTGCTGACATATAAAATGCCAGACAGCTCATCTTGAGTCCCCAGCAACTCTGCAATGTCCTCTCGTGTACAGTACTGAGAAGAACTTATGGAAAATGTAAGTTAAAAAGGCACTTACTGATACTAATGAGTTATTACATCACTTTCCTAATATTTTTTAGGTGTATAGAAAGCTCATACTTTTTTTTTTTTGTTTGTTTTTGATACAGTAAAGGGTTAAAAACCCCTTCAGGTTACCATATTAATGAAGAAAAGATTTGTCTTTACATATACTTTACCTTTCAGGTTTAGTAATACTTAAGAAAGAGGTGACAGAATGACTCCAATGGGGGGGGGGGGGGGGGGGTTTCCTGCTCACTTTTGTGTTTTTTATCTACAAATCCCTTTTTATCTCTTTTATTTATTACAATAACAAAAATATGGATGAGCAAGCATGCAAAATGTGAAAGTCAACAATAAGGTAAGTGATCACTAAAAATACACTATGGTTAGCTACTAAAGCTGGAGGAACCATCCCACATAGACCACACCCTGAAATGCAGGCTAGAATGAATGTCTGGCTGTTTTGATGCCTCTCCTATCAAGACAAATCACACACATTACCTTTACAAGCCTTATCGTATTTTATCCCAGGCCTTAACCTCCAAAAGTGGAGTGATTCCTAGGCAATTTCTAAAAAATATTCAGATTTGGAAATCAAGCATTTCTAGAAAATAATCAGATAAAATAACTAAAGGAGTCTAACTTTTTTTTTTTGTAGTTTGGATGGAGTTGGGATGTCTGTGACTCCAATGGAAAAGTTCTCCCTCATTTCTCATCTCTGTGATATCCATACAAGAAAGGGGTGCTGTAGTTGTCATTAAGGAAGGTGGTCGCAGAAATATTTGGTATTGTCAGTAATTTTAACCCTTCCTCACTTATCTACATATGTAATGTAGCACCCTCTAGTGTGCTCCTAGGGTAGTGTAGGTAAATTTATTGTATATGACTCAATGAAACTGTGTGAGTCTGTAGTTAGTCCAGGTTAGTGCAGGTCAGGCTGGATGGCTTAACATTTTGGGACTCTATTCATTGCCTCCACCTGGTTTTGGAGTACCATGAAACTTTCCAGAAGCCATTGGGAGGAAGGTGTGGAGACCCAATCTGCATGTTTATGGAAGTCCAACCATGAACAAGATCAAGGCCTGGGAGCAGTGGGTGCAAGGTGGACACAATGAGTACATCAGCACACCCATGAGAGAGACTGAATGTGTAGCAAGCTTTCAAAGGACAGCGTTGTGCTCAATCCTTTATCCTTGTCCTGGGAGATCTTCAGAGCAGCCAGGAGAGCTGGTAGTGTCTGCTGGCTGTGGAGCTGGGAGCAGTTCTACAGAGAAGTGGAGACATGTCTGCATGTAGTTGCATCAAGCTAAGCTAGCTTTTTTTTTGGGGGGGGGGGGCTGAGAATCCCTAGTCCATAATGAACAGTTGCTACTGATCAGTAATGACTGACTGCTTTCAAGGAAAAGAACAGTCCAGGATCTGTTTCTGTAAGTAGAAAAGAAATTGTTCCTTTGCATTGATTCAGTCAAGTTGGGCATTCCACAATCCCTATTACCCTACCCAAGTTATTTCTCCCTAATAAATAACAAAAACCAAGCTCATGGACTGTTCACTGACTGGTTGCAAGTGTGGAAAATGTGTGTTGCTTGGCTGTGTGGAGCTTATGAATACTTAGAAACACAGCAGCCTCAAGAAGGTAAAGCTGCATTAAAAAAAATATATTAAATAATATTTATTTTGCCACTAAGGAGTTTGGAACAAAATGTCTTAGATTGAGATGTGCACTGATATTGTAGATATATGGTTTGTTTAATTTTTCTACTTTTTGTATTTAGTAATTATCTTACAGCACAGTACTATTTAATACATTTTTTATATATATTTATATGTATTTTTGTTTCTTGGTCACATGTGGGATTTATTTACTAAAGCTGGTTCACTCAGAATCTGGGGTAGCTGAGTATGGTGGGTAATCAGCTTCTAACCTCAGCTTGTTCAGTTAAGCTGTAGCAATAAAACCTGGAAGCTGATTGGTTACCAGACTGACAACTCATGAGGCCCACGGCAATAGGGGATCATGGGGCCCCTGTGTCCTTGCCCAAACTCAAAAAAGCCTATAAAAAAAAGTACCAGGGGCATCTCATGGGGCCCCCTACTGACCCTGGGCCGTCGGGCAGTGCCTGAGTTTCCAAATGGTCAGTCCGCCCCTGTTGGTTACTATGCAGAAGTGCATGAGATGCTGAGTGAACCAGCTTTAGCAAATAAACAACAGTAATTGCTACAGCTGTATTACATATTTTTATTTGTATTTTTTTTAGTTTGGTTTCAGTATATTTCTCAACATAGTGATTGTGTTGAGGATTTTTTATTAGTTTTCAAATATGTGCTTTTATTTTATCTGTGCCTCCTTTGTAGAGATTTCCCTTCACTTGCTGCATTGACAGAAAACGAGGAGAAATCTGCCCAGTAGCGACATGGATGGCAATGAAAACCTTTGAGAGACTCTAACCTCTTTCCTGCTCTATCCAAAATAGAAAAAAAAGTTGTGGCTGGATCTAGAGTTTAAATTACATAATTTATCTTAGTAAATGAAGCCTATTGCATTTTTCATATTACCCACAGAGAGAAGCAAACACTGCAACTAAATTTCAACAAGGTTATTAAAAAGATTGCGGTTAGCTCAATTTGAGATATCTCAAAGAAATTACTAATTACCTTTATAAATGTATTAGAGTATTACATTGTTGTGCAATTAAATGCATTGCCCATTTTCATTACATTTCATTTCATCATCTAAAATTTGCATCCTAATAATTACTTTTTATTAAGACGTAATTTTGTATTTAATTTGTTCTTTCATTAGACTGGCATCTTTAGACTGGCTATATTCCTATACATTTTATGCTGCCTGACAAGTAGTTTAAAAAAGAAGTACAATCTAATTAAAAAATTAAATTCATTATATGTAATTTATCAGTGAATAATATGGCCAGTTATTCATTTTACCAACTTAATTATGTATTTTTTCACAAAGAGAAGCAACAAGCAATAAGTTTCATTTGTGCTGCTCAATTAGCCCACAAGTACTCTCTGGAACAAATATCACTTTCTAGAGTCGTGGAAGCTTTCTGGGAATGCATAGTAGTTTTGCATATGTGTTATTTATTTATTATGGCCAGTACTAATAAAATAAACAGTTTTATTTTTCAAATTAGGTTCATATTGCATATGCATATATTACATGTGTATTAAAAAATGCTGAATTCTGGAATCTGTACCCTAAAAAGCAAACAATGGGCAAAGGACTAGTAAGCAGTATTCCCTATTGTCCCCCATTACTGACGAATTATGCTTTGCTCTATATTGTGTCTTTGTGTGGAGGTGATTAAAATTAAGTACAATTTTCTAGAAATGTAGAATGACCTTAACAGGGGCGGACTGACCATTTGGAAACTCGGGCACTGCCCGAGGGCCCGGGGTCAGTAGGGGGCCCCATGAGATGCCCCTGGTACCTTTTTCATAGGCTTTTTGTGAGTTTGGGCAAGGACACAGGGGCCCCATGATCCCCTATTGCCCGGGGGCCCCATGGGTCGTCAGTCCGCCCCTGGACCTTAAAGTATATGTAAACCCTCACCATGTAAAACATCCAGTTCAGCTTGAAATAGAAATGAAAGGCATTCATTTGTGTATTCATATAAAAACATTATACATACTGGTACTTTTTTCCCTGTTTTGTAAGTGATCACATGCCCTGTGTTCTCAGCTGCGTAAGGGAGCTAGGGGAGGAGCAAAAGCAGCACCATGCATGTGCACCCTGATCTTCCCATTGATAGTGTGTGTTTTGGGGGATCAGCACACATCTGATCATTGGATTAGCTCCCAGCACAGCCAGAAAACTGACCCTGTCATGCTCTCATGCCTAGTATGGTCAGTTTTTAATAGGAATGCAGAGGAAATGGCAGGGATTTCACACAAAGGAAGCAATACAAAGAGCTCAGGATACTTTTTCTTACAAGTACATGGTACAGCAGGCACATGTCAGGAATATGAAATATTAGGTTTACATATTCTTTAAACAGGCACAAACAGGACTTTGAAATGAGTTAGTTAACATATGTATGCTATGTCCTTGTGTCAAGGTCCTACCTTTTCCCTGAGGTTATGTTACTCCATGTGCAGGCGTCCATCTTGGATTCTGCTGTGCATGATGGGAATCCTTTTATGCCTTCAGGTCTCTGTGGTCCATCCCCCAGAGGGGTGTGGCTGATGACATATAAGCCTGTGGCCCGCACATGCTCTTTGCACTTGTGTCTTGTGTCTTTGTGTTGCTATTACTCTGTTCTGACTCTCGTGACTCTCCTGGTATCTGATTCGGCTTGTGACTTGACTATTCTTTGTATTCTCCCTTGATCTGATCCTCTGTTGCTGAACCCGGCTTGTGACCTGTGATTCTCGTCTGCTGTCCTGTACTGTTTTGTCCTGTTGTTGTTGACCCGGCTTGTCTGACTACTCTTTTGTCTCTTCCACCAGCTACACGCCATTGGCGGCGGCCATTACCGCAACTGAGGTGTCTCGGGGGCCGAGACCTGGTTCCTGGCTGCGTCAAGTCCATCCCCACCATCAGGGGCCCTGGTGAAGGGCAGCCTGGGACTTAGACTCTGCGCCCTGAGGGACTTCGGTCTGTGGGTAGTGGTTGTCGTCAGCCAGTGCGTTACATTGTTAGGCCTGCCTGTCCGTTCCTCGGCCCCTGCCCTGACACCTTGTTCCCCATTTTTAGAAATGTTTGCATAAAAACTGGGATTTTTGGTTCATATACTGTATTTTGCGAGACATGTTCGAGCTGGCCAACTATGTCAAAATTATTTATTTTTGGTCAATCCCTGCTCTACTCTACAAAATGCAAAATACTTATTGGCTTATAACATTCTTTAGTGGACATATAGTGCCAATATGAGGCAAGCTGTGAGCTATGGATTTGTGCACAGAAACTTCTCCTCCATTTCTAGTATATAATGCAGATCAATGATCAGACCTGGGCCTATAGCTGTCCTCCAGTGGGTAGAGAAGTGTGCAAGGGGTGTGTGTGTGTATACACTGCTCAAAAAATTGAAGGAACACTTTGAAAACATTCTGAGTTACTGCAATGAAATTTCAGCAAAATGGACTAGCCTGCTGCATCATTTTTCACTTTGATTTTCAGGGTGTCTTTGAATTCAGTCCTCTGTAGTTTGATGATTTTCATTTCCATCAAACGATGGGGCATCCTTACATTCCTAACACATTACCCAGTCCATATCAGTATAGATATCCAGCATGAGATTTTTCCCCATTGAGATCTGATGTGTTTTCAAAGTGTTCCTTACATTTTTTTTTGAGCAGTGTACATATAAGTAAGCTGTTCTACCTGTCAAAGGATTGTATTTCCATCCAACCAGAAGTTTCTCCCTTTTTTCAAGCGACCACCTCTTATCTTCTGATAAGACAGACTGAACCGTAGGCATTTTGCGCATGCTCAGTTTGGTGTGTATTGGTAGAGAGGTTGTTTTCCTTGAGAGAGTGCATATGATCAGGGCCAATCAGCACTGGTCAGACAGAGATCAGGGGTTTTGCATCCTCCTAAAGCAGAACGAAAACTCCTCCTACAAGCTTTAGCTAGTGCTTGGCTGAACAATGATGGTCACAAGACTGCTCTAACTACTGATGAGAAAAGGTATTTAGCATTTACTTATATTTACTAAAATAATTGCATTTCCATGTTCTGTGTACTGTGGGAGACCAGATATAGTGGATGCAGGGTCCTGGGTTTAATAACACTTTATTGTGTGTATTTTATATCTGCCTGGAGTTATGTTTTAAATGTTTTTTTTTATAAATGATTTATTAGAAATAGTACAAAAAATATAACACCTTAGTTTAAAAACAAATAATAACAAAAAAATGTAAATTGACCCCAACCATTAGTTTCCCTTTAATGTTTGCAGCAAATCATCTCTGATCTTTCAAAGATAATTGCAAACAAGCATCCTTTAAAATGTATATGTGAGATGAGCACTGTTGCTCTTTATGGAGACACTCCGTCATACAATGACTACTTGATGTAAGTATACTTTATAACAGGGAATTATATACATGATCCATTATAAGGCATTTGATTACAAGTGAAGTAGTTTTGTAATACTGTATCTGAATGCACAAGGTTTGTAGTAGTATAATGTGCCTGCTGAGTTAATATGGCTTCCATCAACAGCTGTGATATAAGGGTGTCCTGTCTCATACCTCTTTGTCCCACTGTTCTTGTCAGGCAATTACACATCTGCTGCAGGATGGAAACTCATCTACGAGCCCCCCAGGACACTCTGCTGAGCAAAGTTACCCATTTATTATAAGCAATAGCTAATATTTCTCCTCTCTGTGCTTTCTATCGTGGAAATGAAGCCCATGCAATGTAACCCCAGACTAATAAATAACATGGGGAACACTTAGCAAGTGATTGAATATGCTGCAAGATGATTTCACTGCCTCTTAATGATCTTCACAATCTACTGAGTAGTTCAGATATTGCAGACCTCCGCTGTTACTCATCATGGCACACATTGGCTTTACATATTATAAAAACTTGTCAGCTCTACATGAATTTCTCTTTTAAATTCCACCGTGACCCTCTATGATGGCCTATAGAGTCTCAATAGATTTCCCTGCTGTTTATATCACCCCCTTACCTTTTATATTCCAATTTATATTGTCTTCTCTTGCAGAATTTAATGTTCTTATATGTATGATTGCATTTAGGGGTCTCACTTTCAAGAATTATATAATATTTTAGTTCGTATGCAATATGATCCTCATGTTGGCATTATGGAAATAGTGACTAGATGTTATCTGGAATACATAATGGCATAGCTTAATTGGAGGTGAAACAATTATGCTGACTGAGGGCCGTACATACAGTTTTACCTTATTTGTCCTTTGGGTGATGGTTAAAGCAACAAAAGGCAAACCAATACCTCTTCCCTCTAAGGGAGAGAACAGAATACAGATAAAGGGATTTTTAATGTGCCAATATAAAAAATATACCCAAACATTATAAAAATTATACACAGCTTTATTACAGATAATAACAATACAAAAGTATATTTAAAAACATAGTGTGTGGAGCCAAGTACAGCATATCATTGGACAGGCAAGACCGTATATTTTACAATGTTAGAGATTTTTTTATGCTTCTGTCCAGATTAGATAGAAGGAGACATATAGGATCAACACATTTTTCCAATACTGCTTCATCAAGATCTACACCGGCAGAAAGAAGCACAATGGCTGTAAAAATCACATTACAAATCATACATACAAGTTTATATATGAATGAAGACAGCAGAGAACAGTGGTGTATTTACTTATTGTGCTGCCCTAGGCAACACTAAAATTTGGCACCCCCCCTCCATGCCTCCACCAACCACCCACCCCACGGGTGGCAGCACAACTCTCAGCCAGGGTCATCTTTAATATTGATTGGACCCTGGGCAAACATTTTCTTGCTCCTTCATGCAATATTGTTTCCTACCCCAACATCACCAAAAAAAAACAAACACAGACTTATCTAAAAAAAAATTTAGTAATGTAAACATAAAGAACAAGTCCGCACTCACTGATTGCTAGAGGTTACTACACATCCTTACTGCTCAATGATTGGTTGCTAGATGTAGAGGTAACTGCACATCATTACCAGTTGATAGAGATTATTACACATTATTGCTGCTCACTGATAAGTTGCTATAGGTTACTGCTTATTACTGTTCAATGATTGGTTGCTAGACGTTACAGCACATCATTACTCCAGACATACTACAGGAGACGGTCAGAGACTGCGCACATACTACAGGAGACGGTCAGGGACCGTAAACCTAGTACAGGAGTTTTCAGGGACTGTGGACATAGTACAGGAGACAATCAGACTCTGCATACATACTACAAGAGACGGTGGACATACTTCAGGAGACAGTCAGAGACGGCGGACATACTTCAGGAGATGATCAGAGATGGCGGACATACTACAGGAAATGGTCAGAGACTGCAGACATGGTACAGGAGATGGTCAGTGACTACGGACATACTACAGAAGATGGTCAGAGATGGTGGACATACTATAGGATACGGTCAGAGACTGCGGACATAGTACAGGAGACAGTCAGAGACTGTGGAAAGGATATAGGAGAAAGAAGATGTCAGAGGGTGCACCACCCTGTGTACTGCCTGATCTCCTATCCCTGTATATTGCCAGCTGAATACTGCACAAATAACTGCAACAAATAAAAGCAGAGATTAATGATCTTGGCAACAGAGTTGACCATATTGAAATAAAAATGGGAGAATACATCACTTCCTTTAACACCCTAGTGGACACCCACAACAAAAGGGATGAAGAAATTGAATGGCTCAAAAATAAAATTGCAGATCTGGAGGATAGATCACAATGTAACAACATTAAAATAAGAGGCATTCCAGAATCAATACAACTTGACCAACTGAGAGCATATTCCCGAGAGCTCTTTCGTGCCCTCCTACCGGATGCTACAAATACAGATCTGACCATCGATAGAATACATCGCCTTCCAAAACCTTCCTATCTGCCAGATAAAATACCTTGAGATGTCTTGATGAGAATTAATTTTTTTCATGTCAAAGAAAAAATCATGGAAATTGCGCTCAAACCCCAAA